TTCTTATAAGGTCTCTGTGACACACAACAAAACAGTTTTCAAATTTCCCTAACTAAACTCTTTTTGTACGGTATACAATCTATAACAACCAGCCTCACACAGAGGCTCTCCTGTGTGATCGTTGTCAGCTCAGTAACTTTATGGTCCCTGACTTCCTGTCAGTGGTTCAGACCCCGAACCATGGGCCTAAAGGTGTGTTTGCTACAATCGCTGGACTCTGATCCACAGATCTGTGCCTGAACAGCCTGCTTTATGACAGGACTCACAAAATAAACACACAAGACCCAAGACAGGCACCACTAGAGGTAACATCTGCTCTCAGGGAAATTATGGTCTATTTGTGTGCACTATAAGAGCTAAACTGTTATAGCAGAGCCATACAGCCACTTTTATGGCATGTTTGTCTAGAGGCATCTTTCATAGAGACCATTCAACTTCTCTGATATTATATCTAGGAACGAAAGCAAAGGATATAAATATACAGAGAAAAAAATAAAGTGGTTTTATTGTTTGATGGAGTCCATTGATTTTCCAAACCCACCTGTCTTTGCAGGGTCCGGAGGAGGCTTGGGCTTATCCAGTGTTGGACCATGTTAATAATTTTAGACATTAAGAACCAATATCCATGTTTTATAGTAACCATGTTCATTGGAGTAGGGGAGAACATTTTGCTCTGCAATTAGCTCTCAATCACCAATCTTTAAGTTCAAATCCCCCTCCACTCAAGACAGCATCACAAGACACTCATACATTGGGATGTGCCCCTGTCCCCAAAGATGCTTTGAGGACAAAGCAACTGTCTCATGCCGGCTTCTTCCTCTTTCCCACTGAAACTAGTTGGTTAAAAAGGAATTTTCAAACATGGGTTGACCCACTAACAATAGCCATTTGGTTCAAAAAAATAAATAAATAAAAAATCACTGTACTTTGTTTCCAAGTTTGAAGACGTTTCACTTCTTATCCAGTAAGCTTTTTGGCAAAGCCATTAGCCATTTGGCTTCCTTGCAATTAGAAAAAAAAGGAGGGAGGGTATGACCCACTGCAGGAAAACTGCATGGCTTCTGCCCCCCCACCGCTGCGTGCCTGGTGACACTATCACACTGGGTTAGCATTGATGATGTTACGAGTGGGACAGAAATCAGGAAAATAAATAATGGAGGGTAAAATGGAAGGGAGCCAGTGTGGAGGAAGTATGCTTAATTGTTGGCTCTTATGTCAGCCTGAATCCCCCTGAAGCTGGACATACACTGTACAATATTTTAAATTGTTGTACTCAGCTACAGCTAAAATTGTACGACGGAAATGCAGGGTTTAAAAGTTCACAGCTCACGATGTTCGTACACTGTACGGACCAACGCTATGATGCGATCTACCTGCTCATACTGTTCGTCCAGAAACCACACGTCAGGCTCATTGCCAAGAGATGGAGCTGGTTCTTCAATCTGGAAGAAGAAGAACTCCCTTGTTTGTCTGTGCATGAGGTTCCAGTAAATCAACCCATAGATGCTCGTAGCTCTGCTACAACAGCAGGATTTGCAAACACCTCTCGAGAGCCGACTGAATTTCAAACATGTTTGATTTTCTCCCGACCTTAGAATTCCTGATCAGGAGGTGGTAGTGAGAGGCTAATCGCCCATCATTACACCCTGTGTACTACACGATGCAGGACACACAATGAGGCTAAAACTTGGCCAAATTGAAAAAAATCTCGCACGACTGGAGAATCAGCACAAAATCGTAAAGCGTACGCCCCCCTTTACTACTGCTGCAGCGTGTTTATCAAATGTAACCAGAGTTGTTTTGGCTTGTTAGATCAGACATGAGATGGTGTGTTGACTTCCATACGTTGTGCTCAATGAGATCATGTAAATTAGCAGGCCGCAAGGGTCCAGAGAAGGCTTTATACTTATATATATATATATAAGTATATATATATATATATATATATATATATATATATATATATATATATATATATATATATATATATATATATATATATATATATATATATATATATATATATATATATATATATATATATATATATATATATAGATATAGATATAGATATATATAGATATATATATATATATATATATATATATATATATATATATATATATATATATATATATATATATATATATATATATATATATATATATATACTGTATATATATACACATACAAATAAACATATATATTTGCAGTGCTACTGCCCATGGATATCTGACTGTTTTTTTCTCCCCTTGATTTATATTTATATGTGTTCAATTTCAGCTTTCTGACTTAAATGGCTTCCGTCCCACAGCTGAACAATCTTTCTTCTTTCTCAACTGCTCCACACTTCCTCTAAGAGGCTCATCTGATTCATTTGTCAATCTCCAACCTGGCTTCAGTATATAAACTTTATATTCCCTCTTTTCGCTGCTGGATTCTTCTGTGAAATTCTTCTTTTTCCATTACCCTCTTTGTTGCCTTGTTACACTGCATGTTATTTTCATGTGCTCCATGACATGTTTCTGCTCCAACCTGCCCGTAATCTTTATTATTGAAAGACAGCTTTTACTACAGTTGAACTGAATAATTATAGGCCCTTCTTCTACCATAGCATGGAGCTTTCTTTACAAAATATATCAGAGCAGAAGCCTCTTCAAATCTTTATCCTCCTCTCCATTTTGGGGGAAAAAAAGTAGTTTCCTCTTAGCTTCCAGAAAAGATCCTAGACAAATTTTTTTTTATTGTGTGTGGGTGTGTGTGTGGGTGTCTAACATGTTCCACCTTGCTGTATGTTGTATACCATACAGGGACTTGTGTAAATCAAAGGCACATAGTAAACTAATCTACCTTAAGCAAAACTATCCTGCAAAAGCAGAAGCTTTGAAATGTGTTGCTTTGAAGGATACAAATGTGTGTTAAAACACTGCAAAGTTAAAAAGATAACAACAATGGGCTTGGAGAAGAACTGATGCCATTTACATGAGAAAAGGGTTAAAAAGTAAGATCCAAACATTTTGAAGTGCATATTTTATGTACCGAAGTAAATTTTGTCATAAATAGAAAATATTTAAAGAGGTTTTGTTATGGTTCTCCCAGTTTGGACCTTGAGTTTTAAGTTTTCAGTTATCTATGTCATTCTGTTTTGTTGATCTTTGGTTTATTTTTCATTGTGTGCTTTAGATTTAAGCGGTGTTGCTTTTTTTGAGCTAATCTCTTTTTTCCCTTTGTGCCTTTCTCCTTTTCCCTAGCTCCCATGTCTCCTGGTTTTTGTTTTCCTGTGTTTTGTTTCTTTTGCTTTTTCGATTTCATTAATCCTGTAAGAAGTCATCTCTGCCTCCCTCATCCCTGCATTTGGGTCCTCAACCAACCTCTACCCCTCCTTAACAAGTTTGTTTGTCCAGGAGTCAAAGCACCACAAAGATTTACCCCAAGTTTGGCTCAAAACATGTTCAGTGATATAAAAGAAGAGCTTTAATCACAGAACCAAATGGCCCTTTAAAAGCATGATAAAATGATAGGACAGGTTTGTTTGGATAGATTGAAGGTTAGGCCTCATATCTCTGAAAAAAAAATAAAAAATATGGTAACATGACGTAGCTTTTTCATTTTGGATATGAATGACCCACAAGGCTTCTGGAATAATGTCCTTTGAGAGAAATAAGATCAAAGTTCATATAAGTTTATATTTAATAGTTGAATGTATTACGACAAAAACGTCAGCAAAAATCTATATATGACACATGGCACATGGTTTTATGGATTATAATTTAGTGTGCTTCAAAGCCACCTTGTAGTGAATGAGACAAGGCAAGTTTATTTTTATGGCACATTTCAGTAGCAATGCAACTCAGTTACTCTGCACCAGCATAACGGTATAATCATTATTAAATATTAATAATCAAAGAGAATAAAAATGAATAATCAGCATGATAAGGTGGTTATAAAATGAATAATAAAATGTTTGATAATGAAATAGAAATAAAGTTGGACTCCAGAAACAAACTAATTATGTTTATATAGAATAGTCAAAGGTAACTCTCAATAAATCTCCATTTAAAAGCAATTTAATGTTTCAGCACATTGACAGTTTTCTGTGATTTTGCTCCAGATTATTGGAGCATTAGACACTAAAAACTGCTTTTCCATGTTTGTTTCTGGCTATGCAGAATAGACTTGAAATTATTTAACCATTAAATCTTAGGGCAGCTAAATTAAGACTTTTTCCAAAAGCTGAAGCATAGTCAAAACTGGAAAAATGTTATATAAGCATTAGTGTTGGACAAAATTGCTCCACATATCTATTTATTGGATTTAAAAAAAAGGTAGGGGAGGGTTGGTGTAGTTACTTTTTAAAAAAACACCTTTTCTATTTCACCTTAATTTTCTATTTGATTAAAACTTGATAATATTGTAAATTAACTTGTTTGTTATCTCCACAATACGTTTAATGTCAATCATTTTCAATGTGTGTTATATAAGAAAGCATTGTGATTTTAATTTAATTTACATAATAATGAGGTAAATATATAAGGGATTATCTGATTAAATTATATTGATAAGCATTTTTTAAAGGCAAGGCAAGTTTATTTATATGGCACATATCAGTGGGAAGACAATTCAAAGTGCAGTATATGAAAAAAGACAAAAATTAACTGTGATGTTGTGATGTAGACGCAGTCAAGTTTGTATTTGAGAACACATCGATAAACATGTTTAAACTTTTGCTCTATGCTTAAAAGCGAGCATTCATTCAGCCTTCAAGGGATCAATAATGACGCTTGGTGATATCCACACACACAATTTTTCCTGAGGTTGGTCCAGGTGTGGCTCCCAGTTAACTTCCTCTGTTCACAGCTCAACCCGGCGACAGAGACATCAGTGTCTGATAACATGGACCAGCTTAATGTTTAGCCTAGAATTTACACTCACACGCACGTGCACACACAGAGGGAAGCAGAGGGATTATAAAGGCGCAAAGATCTATGCACCAGCCAAGGATGAAGGACAGAAAAGTAGCTGTGGGAGGGAGAAGTGATCGAGGTGAGAATTATTGCTTTTAAAGGTATTTCAAATTTTGCTTTAAGGACTGGATTTTTCTGGATCAAATTGGATTTCTCAACTTTTTTTACTTGCATCGTACTCAATAATGACGTCAAGAGATGATTTCAATATTGAAGTTTTAATTTATCGATGTTTTAGGAAAGCTCATACAAAGTGGAAGTCATTGTGCTGGTAATTTAAACAGTTTGTTTGAACAAAGTGACAGCTTGTTGAAGATTAGCTATGTCTTGAATTAGTTAAGCAGGGCTATTAGCCTCTTAATCCATATTAAGTGTCCCAAGTTTTGTGTCCTGTCAGCGGAGGACAAAAGGGGAGCATTATCCATGGAATAAAGTTCAACAGAAAAGATATTAATAAAACCTTATCATGTTCCTAGATCCAATGTGTTACACACCTTACCTTTCCTTTGATAACAGCAAAGGCTTTAAGTAATATATTGCTTTAAGAGTCGTACAACATTTGTTACTACAGTTCCTCTCAGAGGTTGAGGGACTTAAAAATAATCATAATAACATTTTATTTGAATAGCACTTCTTTAAACCACTATAACAAAAGGGTTTACATAAAGAAAACAAGACAAGAGCCTAAAAATATTCAGAAAAGACACTAAATAAGACAAGAGATTTTCACATATAAAAATCCATATGATATATTATATAATTACGTTTTAACCAATGATTTAGGTGAAGATGACTGGATATGTCTTAGAGAAAGAGAACTCCACAAGCTGGGAGTTGTGACCACAAAAGTTGTACCTACTTCTGTCATAACCCAAACTCTGAGAGTGGAAAGTAAAAGCTTATTTGAAGATGCAAGATCACAAGATGAGAGTGTCAGAGTTAAGGAGCTCAGAATTTATAGATGTAGCCAAGACCATTCAGGGAATAAAAACAGTCAGTAAGAAAATCAAAATAAATTCAGACTGCTTCAGGTTAAAATAAAAGCCTTCCAGATAAAATCTTTTTTTTTTTGTGCTTGGAAGACTTGTGTTGTGTTTTATAGTTGCAGCTATAGCACTTTGCAAATGTACTTATATGTCCTATTTTAATCAACTGATTAAACACCAAATTGCATGCCAAGTTACATCTACAAAATATTAGCAGATTGTCACAAGCTTAAATTGTCTGTAAACATTTTGCTCTAGTTGACCAATCAGAGGACAGAAAAGGGTGGCACTCAGGTGGGCCCTCTAGATAGTTAAGGTAACATCAGCCAGCACAGCTGATTCTGAAGGCCCTGGGCAGATTTGATTGTCATAGCAACACACTAAGTCTGAAATCTGATAGGACAAAAAATATAGCAACCACATAAATGTAATGGAATCAGTGCAGCTAAGAGAAATGCTACAAAACTAAGAGAATAGATTGTTTGGAAAAAATGTATATGGCTGGACAGAAGACAATTTTATTGTAGTCGTTTTTTTTTTTTTTAAGATTGTCGTCCCAATTTGAGTAACATCTTGCATGTGAATTTCCATTGCATAATAATGTCCTGAACGCTAAACACTGTGTGTATTTGTTACAGTAGTCCAGAGTACCTTTGTTAACCATCATAGCGTTCCTAATGTTGACTCTGCCAAAGGTAAAGAAATAGGAAGTGGAGCAGAAGCTAGGAGCTCCAATTTGATGTATTTGGTTCAAGATTTTGCCTTTTTTCTAAGTGGATAGGATTGAAGTGAGGTCATCATTTTACCTTACAACTGTGATGAATAGCCGGCCACAAAAATGCACTAAAAATCTGGTGTGGATTTTACAATACATCAGGGCAATATAGCTGTTTAAAATATTCTACATGGGAGCAGTTGGATCTCAATCTAATCCAATTTACCTGTTTGCAAATCAAATCATGCAAAGACAGTCCCAATTCACAGGTGATCACTTCTGGGCTCCGTTTTTTGTCAGGTCTTTTATAGAGCCGGTCTATGTGGGCCAGGTCCTTTGAAGGATGCACCCACTGAATTGGGACACAACAAAAGTGTAAACACAGGGCACCTGTCAGTACAACAAGTGGCTTCCTGTTTATAAAAGGCTAAAGTGATATAAATAATTGTTAGCTTTATTCTTTATAAATCATGTGCATTGTTACTCTGTTAGCCAGATTAGACAGAGTAGAAGGCCTTCCCTCACATGGTGGAAGTCACTGTCTGTACGGAGGTCATCTAATCAGGACAGCCTTTGTGTCTTTAAAAATACACAGTACAAGGACACATCTTGGAGACAGACTGATAGAGGAGAACTATCTGTAATCCTGGGGCATAGAGGCAAGATGCATAAAGGTCAGGGCATGGATGGCGTGTCAGTTTCTGACACGGACAGCTAAGCATCCACCTGATGTAACACATAGACTCATGAGGTAGGAGCAGGAGGTGACCTTGTTTGGGGTTCAAGTTCCTAGGTGCAGCTGCCATCAGGGGGACATAACTCCCATATTTAACCATTGGTGTTTCTGCCCTGAGCTGGAAATTTATATATAAAAAAAAAAATCTAGAGTAAATTGAAACGTTTGCCCTTAGTTCTTGATTTTGGTTTTATTTATTGACACTAAAAAAGTCAATCCACACTTAAACAACAATAGTTTAAGTCACTGGCGTATCTTTCTGAAGGACTGGTGTGGACATGTCCCCACCAACTTTGGCATGGAGGGGATATGTCCCCATCAATAATTTCCGTTTTTTTTCCCCCTTTTGCTGATTTACTTTAGCCAACAGTAACTGGAGTTAGGTGCAGCTGTCTGTGTTCAGAGCATTCTGAGTCCGTTTTTTTCCTCACCCTCTCGAGACCCACCTCTTGGTGTAACATCATCTGATCTGTTGCTTTGGGACATAATATTATTTTGGAGTCACCATTCACAGCTAAATTTAGGAGACGGGTTGATTAAAAAAATTAGAGATGCCACCGAAAAATCTGTTCATTAGACATACTGAGCTTTTTCTGCTAAAAATGGCTGAGTGTATATTTATATGAGTTAAAAAAGCTGGGCTTCTCAGAGGACCATTACTCAGAGTTAAAGATTAAAATGAACCCATATCTGTTGTTTTCTTATTGAACAGAGAATCGGACTGCAGAGTTTCTAGATATCTTGAAAATTATTTTCTTTGTCATCATTATATTGGTACACGGGTTCATAAATATGTTTTTATTCAGAGCAGAGACACAATTAGGCACAGCTGCAGATTTAGAGGTGAAACAGGTTTAATGGGATATGCAACATGCAATAAAACATATCTCCAAGTTTACAAGAAAAAATACGCAATGCTATAATAAAATTCAACATATCAACACTCAGAAATAGCTGTGACAGCAAACCCTGAGACAACCAGACTCACAGGACACAGATTTAAAATAAGAAACCTACAAGAAGTAAAGCAAAAATAACAAAAATCAGTGTATAAGTGATTTTGAAATATAAGGTTCAACATATAGACTTTGGCTGTCAACAACATTTGGGACAGATTCCTAATTTTGATTTTGCAGCTTGTGAAGGAGAATAATCACTGATGCAGCTTAAAGGGAAGCCATGCATGGATGGATGGAATTGAAGTTGAGTCCAAAATAGGGATGCATGATATATTGATCTTGGCATTGGATATTGGCTGTTATTGGTCATATTTTATACATTAATGTTTTTGAGCCCTTTATAAATAATGTACTAATGGCAGGCATCTGTCTATAACTATAAATATCAGTTTATTATGGTTCTCTTGTGTTGCCAACAATAGGAAAGCATTCAATAAAAATATGTTTTAGCTCATTTTTGGATAATATAAGCCCTATTGAAAGCGTTTGGGTTGAGTAGCTGTAGGTCCATCAGCCACTATCCTTAGAGCGTCCTCACCAACTTTTATCACAAAGTTACACCCTTGGTTTAAGTAGAACGTGTTATTTACAACAACAAAAAAACTCTTGCCAACAAACCAACACCCAGACAATTGGTAGAGATTTCATTCATAATGCCTGTGCACCAGAGGAACAAATTGAATCCCTTCAGGCTATCTCAGAACCCATCAATCCTGTTTAGGTGTGCCTTCATTCTTAGATACACTTATTGCTGGGTGAAAAATATTAAACATTAAACTGCTTATGCTATTATCACCTATTGGGCACACCTTCTGACAGTTTTATGGCTTCGTTGAAGTCCTATCAGGGATTTTTTATTTACAATTTAGAATATTTTTTACATTCATTTTGAAACTGAGACAACCGTCATAAAAATTAATGAATTTGAACAAGAGTTATACATTCTTTGGCAATAGGTAGTTATGGTTTAACATAACTGGTCAATGTGTGTAAAGGTTTTGTAAATACAGGCATGGTAAAAGGAGTTTCTTTAAAACTAATCTCAAGTGTAGAAAAGCACTCAACGGACTCCTAATTATTCCTCATTATTTATCAAAGACGGAGCCGAACTGGAATGGATATTGCTTCATTTTGATTTAAGAGAGCAGGCAGTCATGTGCTGCCAAACAGACAAACCTGATGTGGTTTTTCTATCTCTATTAAAACAAAAGCTTTGTTAGTTTGCCATCTTTGGTGTATACAATGCCAGAATGGAAAAACACCAGCTGTAAATTTAGGGAAGCCACTGGTGTCCAATATAATGCATCTTCCAGACATTTGGGTGCACATAATTCCACAGTGACAATTACTTTTCTAAGGTTAAAGCTTCCAAAACAGCAGCTAATGTTATTAGGGATTGGTATTCCAGGATTCCAAGATTAGATTGTGCAACGGAAAAATAAAACTGAAACAGAGAATGTAGTCTGGGATTCTTCTGGGCTTAATTAAATAAACACATTTCAAAGATTATGACAGTCTAATTTGAAAAAGAAGTAACAATTTTGACCTCTTAGGAAGGGTAGTAAGAAGAAATTATTTTTCTCTTAATAAAATACAGATGATATGGAAGCAGGAAAATGTTTGTAAATTTTTAAACAAATTAAGTAGAGGATATCTGCAAAAAAAGATAATTTGCACATTCAGCCATGTCACCGTGGATTCAATCATTTGACTTTGGAATTCTGGAGTCCAATGTGTGGCTATCTGATAACTGAAGCTTGGCAAAGATAGGACAGTGATTCATAAAGCAGATGCAAATTACAGCAGAATTGCTGAAAATGACAAAAGAAATGTGTTTAAGCAATCCAGTAAAGGTATGAGGTAGTGGTATATGTCTATGTAAATCCCTAGACTTTGGAGAGGGAGAACCTTTATTAGTACCTGCAATAAACGGGTACTAATAATGCCCAACCCTATTTTACAATCCTAACATAGCAAAAGCAAACATATCTACAGTTTTCTTACCTTATGCAACTAAACATGACAGAAATTGTTCAGTAAAACTGATGGTATAACTTTGTAACTTTCAAGAAATAAGGATTTATTTTGCCTTCGTAAGACCTCTACCATTTTGATATTTGTTATTCCTCATCTAACTTATTCCATAACTAACACCTAAACTTTTTAAAATCTTTTCTAGCTTTATTTATTTTATTATTCCTGTTCCTCTAAGGTTATTCTGATTCAGCATGCTATGCTGTTCCTCTGACACCACATCATGTGCTTATATGTGTTGCAGGGATAGTTGGAGATGAGTCCTCAGCAGAGCCTGATGACAACACCTCCTTTTACCCGCTCTCAGCCGTATTTCGTCTGTATGTGTACGCTCTGCACGGCTGCCTCTGTGAGGTGGCCTTCACAGCTGTGTATGATTGGTGCAGCACCCGGGACAGGAGGCTGACGGGACACAGCAGCCTGTGGGCACTGCCCATGTACGCCACTGCAATCTTTTTCATGGAAGGCCTGAGGACCCGGCTCCTGGCCCAGCACTTCTCACTTCCTGTGCGACTGACAGCTTATACTTTATTCATTTACACATGGGAATTCAGCTGGGGGGTGGGGCTGAGTCTTCTAGGGGCCTGTCCCTGGGATTACTCAACCCATCGGTACAATCTGGGTGGACTGGTGACTCTGGAGTATGGACTGGCCTGGGCTGTTGCAGCATTTATAGCAGAGCAGCATGTAATCAGGAATACACTGAGGATAAGACTGAAAAACAACTGATTGCATGATTATCTTCCAAAATCACATTACATTGGATGTAATTTTTGCACTATTCTACGTTAACTGTATTCTAAATTCTAAATGGTGCAATAATAAAAATATGTATTTTCCTGCTCCTTCATGATGCATTTTGTCTTAATGGTGCAAAATATGTAATGTGTGGGAGGTTTATTTAGTGGTTGGGTGGGGGTTTTTTTATCAGGTCCTCTTGAGCAAAAATGCAACCTTTTCATTTTTTTTAATCAGAATTAGAACCAGAATCAAGTTGATTGCCAAGTAGGTTTATAGATGTATATCATTATATATATATATATATATATATATATATATATATATATATATATATATATATATATATATATATATATATATATATATATATATATATATATATATATATATATATATATATATATATATATATATATATATATATATATCATTAGCTGAAAAAAGCAGGAAGTTTTGACATAATGTTGAGGATATAAAAACCTGACTGCTGCTGTTATCTTTCAGCAGGTTTTAATTCCTGGAACATGTCAAAACTTGAAGGTACATTTTTTTTCTGCAGGGCTTTGTCTCCATGATTTTTTATCATGGAGATAACTTAAAAAAAAAAAAAAACCTTCTATAATAATACAAAAGGAAAGAAATAGCGAATTCATGTCACATCACTTTTATTTCTGTATTCTTAGCACTCAGCTATAGTGTCAAAATTAGATACTTGTTTTGTTAATAATGTTTAAGTTGACCAAAGAAATAAACTAAGCTCAATTTGCATTATTTGATGCAAGTAATCATTCATAGTGATCAATCACACACAACTTATTGAACAATTCAGCATTTTTCTCATAGAATGTATAACTAATGGGATTGTTTATGTGGAATTGACACAATTTTTAAGTGACTGAATAGATTTAAGTTTATGAAGTAAAATAGCACAAGGAAAATATATTAAAATGTAAATATGGTATCAAGGAAAGTAACTTAAAAGTCCCTCTGCTCAGCACAAATTCCTATTACCAATGTATTAGCTCCAAGCAAAAGCTCTCTAGAGATTGTGGAGTAAAACATTTATGTCCTTTTCTTCCTCCATTTTACCAATGATGCATGTTAATCGCTCAGGTTGTCCCATTTTTGTGTGTTTATACAAAATGTGGGCATGAGGGGTTATTTTATTTCTTATGGCTGTTTAGGAAAGGTCCCAGGCTCCTTTAGACTCAAGGATTTTTCAACATCTATCTGCTTGATAAAACTGTCTGTAATTTGTTTCGATTAAAACCTTCACAGCTCTTTGTGTAAATTTAAGATAGTTAGAAAACTTTGTTGTCCATGTCAGAACAGGACCGAGCACCTGAGCTGGAAGGGCTGTCATTATCGCCTTGTTCTCATCTTTTCAGGGACTAAATAAAGGAGCCAAATGCATATTTTTACCGACAACACACTTAGAACCTAATCACTGCAAAACATACTGATGGCGCTGCTTACACACTTTTTTTTTAAACATCTTAATCTCACAACCAGCACTGGAGTTGTAATCCAGAATTTATGACTGAAGAAAAAAGACGAGCTGTGCAGAAGCCAAGGAGAAATTGCTGAACCCATCAGAAATAGGCTTCAAAGAAAACAATAAGTAACAGCCATTGATATGTTTGGATTTCCTTGTATGTGTGGATTAGTTGAGATGCTACTGACCTCTGGTGAGAGTTTTAGGTTAGTAGCATAATGTTAGAAAATGTACTGTTGACTTAATACCTATCTTCCTTATGCTATGTATTTAACTTTAATTTTCAGGTATTTAGTTCAAAATCAGGTTCTCTTGCGCTCTGGATTTTGCACAACAAACAGGGCAACGGTCCCCTCATTCCTCTGCCACTGGAATCTGCAAAGACAAAGAAACTTTAGATGCAAATAAAAAAAACTAAAACACACATTACTATCAATTACTATCAGAATCCTTCTAAAGATAGTTATTGGTAAAGAACTTTGAAGTTTCATATTTATGGTCAAAACCTTATTTTAAATGGAGAAAAAAAAAGGTATTACAGCCATAACTTATTTATTTAATCTGCTAGGAGATGGTAATCGGAATCCCTAAATGAATGATTTAACATTTAGTCAGAATTTTTTGCACTTTGCTAGCCTGGAATATGCAAGTGTGATATTACAATAACAAAAATCTCTGAGCACCCACTTATCGACATGGGAAACTTTCTACTTATAGTTTACAAGTAAAGTGGGAAACATTGTTTACCCTTAGGCTGAACATTGTTGTTCTTTTTTACTTGACACACCTCTTTTTTAAAAGGTTGGCAGCAGATTGAAGCTACTAATACAAAGCAAATTATTCAAGACTTGAAAAGGTCTGAGTCTGCATGCTGAATGTCTGTTAAATTAAATCTGTTTCCCTCTTTGGTTTCCCTCATTAGGCTTTGGTAATGTTTCAAGGATAATTATGAATAATTATCAATAAATTATGAATAAAAGAATATATATTTTTCATACATGAAACTAAATTAAAAACTTTAAAAATGAGAGCATAATGCTGTTTGGAAAACACCAAACATCAACTGTGAAGCTTGGTAGTGGAGGGGTGATGTTTGAAACCTTGCTCGTCTGAAATATTTAAAGAGCGATTATTCTTTTCCAGAGGCTAAAATATAGTAAAAGCATTAATGAAACAGCCCTGCTTTTTATATTAGATGCAGAAATTCAGTTTGTCTACGCTGAGGGCAAATCTTAAGTTCAGTTACTTCTGCAGTACAACAGGATTCAGTGCATGAGTCTGTTTGATACAATTTCCTGAAGTCAGAAAGAGATTTGTTCTATATGTAAAATAACAAATTTAAATTTTGAAATTAAAAAGCGCCAATGACCAGATTTGTTTTTATTTTTTTGTTTGTTTGCTTGTTTTTATTGTCACGTCCTCTGCTGTCATAGCTTGTTGAAATGGACTCACTGGCTTTGCTCAGGGATGAGCAAACTGTCTCCTGAAGTCAGATTAAATGGCTGATCCGCAATGGTCACTCTTGAAGATCCCTCCTGAGAAAGAAGAATAAAGATATGGAGATGGGATTAACTGTAAGGAGCCTGTGTTGGTTTAATAGACATGATTAGACATAAGGCTTTAAGTACCAGCTGCCAAATCCAAACATCAGTTTGCTGGATGGAGGTCTCAGTCAGGCCAGGTCCAAACACCATTGCCTGTCAAAGTATTGAAAAAAAAGGGTCACTTCTTTTATTCAATATCATAGAAAGGCACCGCAGACATTTTAAATCTAGAACGTAATCTACATTTTGGGTCAGTTATGTTGTTTAATTTCACCTTTTAATGATTACATGAGAGACAATTATTTGGAAGTAGCTTTAAAGGGAAAAGCTTCCCAGTTTTCCAGTATCACCCGCCTTGGCTTTCCCCACATTCCAAACACCTTTGTTTAATAACCAGGAAATAAAACTCTGGCATCTGTCTGTGGGAGGAAATTCTCCCACTTCATGCCCCTGATGTTAGTTGAGATAGATTCCTCCTCCAATAAACATATTTGTGCCAGTGCAACAAATATAATTTATATAAAAACAAGATACATTAAAATTAAATGAATTACATTTCTTTGGGTTTGTGTTGGTGAATAATCTGACATGAAGGAACATGCAGCTTCTAAGCCCGTCTCATTCTCCCAGAGGAAATACTAATCTTGTCATTTATCTGTAATTACACACTCTGTGTTCTTAACTTCAGAAGAAAGTCTAATGTTACAATGGAAGCTTGCTTTTGTAAGATAATACGACATGCAGTCTCTATAGATGTGCTGCTAGATTGATAGAACAGATTTAGTATTAGAGATAAACAGATTATGCTTAGGCACATTCTATAATGCGTTGTCTAAATTCTGATTAATGGTTTTCTTTGCCACCTTACAAATGACTTGTTTCACAGAGAAGAGAAGATTCAAAGTAATTCAGGCTTTGAGTCCTCAATTCTTGCTATTATGTAAAAGTATTTATAGGAACCAGTAAATTTCTTTTAAAGAGTGTGACACCTCCTACCTCCGTCTCAAACTGAGCTCCAAAGATATTGATAGGTCCGCCGTTAGCCAGGGATGGCCTTTGTTTTTCCAGCCAGTCTTTGAAAGAAAATGGTGTCATCACGTTCATGGTATTCAGCTGGAATGGAGGCTCTCTGAAGACCTCATCTGCTCAACCAAAAACAAACACTTAAACAGTTATTGTTTATAAAAGGAAATATTTTAGATCCCACATTAAACACGTGAAAGCAGAAAACTCACTCGGATCAGGTCTTCCTGTCTTAGCCTGCTTAGATGCCATGAATCTATGAATAACAGGTCAACACACATTAAACTTTAATAAAACTCAAAAGCTTCATGCAATGGAAAACCAAAAATGAAATGTCTCACTCTTTGATTATTGGAACTAATTGTGTTCCAAGATTCTCACAGTAGAACCATCTCTCAAAGAGGATGTCTGTGGTGTTGTCCACATAGTACCTAGAGAAAGCAACAGATACTGATAGTAATGTTGTTTCTAAGTGCTTTAAAACGTACAACATTGTGTACAACACAATTTCCTATTGAGGAGAAAAACAAAAATAAATAAAAACATGAAGGTTTGGTCATTAGGTCAAGTCCAAGTCAACTCTCAATTTATTCATCCTAATACAGAGTAAAGTCACAAGTCTCTTACGACAATTAAATATGTAATTTTTCAAACCATGCCTCACTGTGGTTCAGGATTCCAGCCTGTACTGTTTATCTTTCGGACTAGATAACAAAATGTATCTCTAAATTTCCATCTTCCTCGCCCCTCTCAAGAAAACCATGACTTGCAGTTAATTGTTAATCACCTCTATGTATTCACAGTTATTTAATCCAATTTATTAACCCTTGTACAGTAAATAATGCCTTATCATATCATAAGCTATTTCTGTACCAACAAGGTCACTCTGTCAGAGTTTGTGCATTTCCACTCAGGTGAAGACAGGAGCCCATCATTCGATGCAGACCACAGTCCCAGAGATGCCTATACCATCTGCAAAACTTAAAGATCTGTTTAGTTTTTGTTTTTTTTAACAGATGCACACAGCGTTTAAGAAATTTGAGCAAGACCAGCTTTCTAAAACATCCAATGGACTTACTATTAGCCTCCCTCATCTATTCCAAAACCAGCTTTGTGTGTCTTAGGGTCATTGTCTTGTTGGAAAACCTAACTTTATCCAACGTAAGACTATCTAACTGTTAATTTGAGCTGTAGATGGAAAATGTTTGAGGCAGTCCTTATTGTTCATCCACTGGAAGCCAAACATGCACACAAAATGATCGAGCCACCACTTTGCATTACAGTAAGAAATATTCTTTTTCTTGATAGCCTCATTATGAATCTTTCTCGCTTTTTATTTGTCTCTGCTTAAATGTATTGTGGAGGATTTTCTAAAATTTCTGAAGAGACCAACCCTCTCCACAGAAAAATGCACATGCACAACCCTGTGCCCGCTCCCAAGAGGGAACGCCTATTAAGCACATGCAAAAGCATGCACAAGCCCATTTCTCCTCGTGCACGCTCTGTTTAAAAGTTGCTGTTTGCATCACTCATACAAGCTTACTTTCCAAAAGAAGATTTGCAATTTTTCCACACTGTTAGACTCAGCACCAGTAAGTGAAAATTAGGACGAGCACAAACGACAGCCTCGCGTTAACATATCATCATGATGATTGAAAATAAGGAAGACCACTTCTTTTGATGATCCACCCAGAAAAAGAACACCCTCCACTATACCTTTAATTTACGGAAGCATCATATTTTCAGATAGGGATGCTACACGTTTCAATCAAATCTGAAGTGTCCAGATTAGAGAGAGGTCTTATGTTCTGTTTAAATGAACTAAGCACAGAAATGGAACTTGATGGTTTCTGTTGCGACAAAATGTTAAAATACCTTTCCTTTCCTTTGAGACAGGCTTTTTCCTGATCTTCAGAAATGGTGACACATCTAAATATTTTGAACTTTGTTTATAAATTGCTCCACCAGTCTTTAACAACTTGTGTAACTCTATCTTTTAGAGAGCCTCACTATTTTTCTTGGAACCTGTCATTGTTCTAGTTGGGAAAAAAATACTTTCCATGTCGAGCTGTAGTTAATAATGTTCCCCCACCAGAAATTATACATTGTAGAATATTCAGAAATCGGAATATTGTGAAATATATGCATATATTTGATTCTGTATAAATAATACCTCTGTATTGTAAAGAATAAAAATGTAAGAGGAAAGGAGAAGGAGTAAAGGCAAAACCTTAGGCAGTCAGTTTCAGTCAGCAGACGTCGTCTTTCCACCACCAGTCCAACTGTGTTGGCTTGTCTCTGGGGAGAGTGAGGGATTCGAGCTGGAAGTAGAAACATCTACAAGATAAAAAAAAAATAGAAATAAAGAAATAAAAAAAACTTGACGTTGGCTTCAAAAAATACCCTGAAGCGGCAAAAATCATCATGTATGTGAGTTCCCTCTATAAAGAGTAAAGGCTTAGCAAAATCAGATGTGTGTCAGGGCTTACTTCGCCTTCTTTGATGTGTACATCCTTGAGTTTGCCGTTTTCTATAACCTTCAGACACATGTCACCCTTTAGCTGGAAAAATAACTATTTCAAACAGAAAAAGAAAGGAACTCGGTCAAATGCCATGATATAGAAGCTGTGATTGCACATGCCGGGGACTGTGTAGAGAATATGAACACATCGCAGTTGAACTTTCACAAGCAAGACCTCCATTCCTCCTAGGTCTTTTAAATCATCCTGAAAAACATTTAACTTTGCAACCTAATAAAATAACATAACTCTTGGGCAGAATTTCCCAATTTCTCCCATAAAGCTGTCACAAACTGCAGACCACTTTCAAAGAAAAATGCCCCATATTGGTACATGAAGGCCTCTTGTCACAGATTCCTTTCTTCTTGCAGCTGTTAAATTATCTAACAATTACTGCTTCCAACAAGCTAAATAAACAAACTACATCCTTGCTGCTATTTGAACACTTTTCTACTCTTCATAAGATTGCATAAGATACTTTATATACTGTAGAAGTCACTTTAAATCTCTATTTTTTTCCACCATCCATTGTATATATCCGGCTGCACTGTTTATACTTCATGCATCTTTTCCTCCTTTGTGCACCTTCTGTGTTTTTAAGAGCCAATGTCACAAGTTAATTTCTCCTTTGTGAGATCAATATGGTTATGTCTAATCTAATCTAATTCATTTAGATTAAAAATTATTTTTCATGAAAGACTTTGTTGAAAAATTGCAGCAACGGAAAATGTAATACTCTGAATTTGTTAGCACAATTATATGTTAGCATTGTGTACATAAATCACTCTATTCAGTTGCACATTTAATTTAATCCTACATTTCCTATTTATTAAGCTGTTATTAATAACTCTATGTTTGTTTTTCTTTAGTTTTAAATTTTTATTTGCTGCTGTTGATGGACAGCTTAATGCTTTAGGGTGTATACTTAAAATTAAAATGATAAGTTTCTATTTATGTTAATTTATTTATATAAAATGTGGCCTTTGTTTTTATACCCATTAACGTGCATTTGTTGATCTAGATTTTCTTTATTCAGTTACATTGTTAAATCTCAGTCACAGCTGGGACCCCTACATTGGTCCTGACCTCAGCTGACATAACCCAATAGTATTTGGAAGCTAAACAATTCTGTGTTTTGTGGTAAAAACAATCTTTTTTAAAAGGAATCGATGAGTTACCACATTTTTCTCAGCCATATGTGTGAGGAAAGCCTAAAAGAATTGTCTAAAGCTGACCCCTGGGCGATATATCTGCTTTCCCTACACAATTCTGGCTCCTTTCTTCTTTAGTATTTGGATTTCAAACCTTTCTTCTGCTTCTTCTTTTTCTCCTTTTTCTGTCTTGTGCCTGGAAAACTCCTTTCTTAAGGAGTGTGGCAGCTAGAATGCAGATCTGACCAGATGAGCAAAAGCTTGTCCCTTTAAACTTGTTCAAAAACAGGAATCCGTCTTCTTGGTAAAGGGGGCAATATATTTCCTTTTAGGGACTTTGAAGGTCTAGACTCATCGTCCAGCCATGAAGGCCATATTTGGTCTGCCGGTTATCCTACAACCTGTCCATTTAGGACGTAAAACACACACTGACTAATTCTTGCCTTCAAATATGAACGGTCTAATGATTTAACAGTTAATAATTTGAAAATGATCATCATTCATTCATTCATTCTTTTATTATGTGTTGATAGAACCAGCTTCTCTATAAACCTTAGTTTGGCCCCATCTTCATATGGCTGCATTTCATATCTAATCTGTATTTCTGGTTTTTCACAAAGCCTTTTATCAATTGTTCATTCCCAATACAGAAACATCACGGGTCGCTCATCTTGTTACATTTTACACATTGGTATAACAGAATCATTTTAATTACAATGCAAAATTAAAATCATTGTACAATAGTTTAACTCAGTTGAAAGAGAAGGCCTCCTTTTAATAATCCTCCTTTTCTCCATCTCGCCCTGATGAATCTGGCACAAAATTTATGAAGTTGCTTCTGCTGGTGCATTTTTGTTCCGCCTTTCTCCTTTTTTACTACACTGCTCCTTGTATTCAGATACAACAGAGACAAATTCCATTAGAAAATAATTTAAACCTTTTCTTTGTTATTTTAATTAACCCCCGAACCGTATGCCAGAATGGATCTGAACACCTCGTCTAATGACAACATATTTGCTAACATTAGTATATTTGTTTTTAATGTATTTGTCCTATAGCTTAATTAGGTCATTGCTATACCTTTGTGTGATTAAAAAATAAATGCATTTTATGATGCATTGTATGATTGCATATGATAATTATGATGTTAAGTATTTTAATGATCATAGAATCATTATTGTCTGATTGTGTGTTTTTCATTCTTTATGAAAGTGTGATTGTTTTTGACTCGTGGTAAATTAATCTTGAATTGAAAAGTTAATGAGTTTTCAGTTTCTAAATCTCTGATTTAAATCTTTCAATGAAAGCATCCATTATCCAGGCAATTGTTTTTGTTACTGCAATTGTTGATATATTTAATATTACACCAGTGTTGCAAATCACACAAATGTTAATTACAACATCTGTGACAAGAGGCCTGCTCTGTGCTGTTTCAAGTATCAAGGATCAGTATTGAGTAAGAACCTTTTGCACATGGTTATCAGATGATAGATTAAAAGCTTTAATAAGCCTAATTGTGCAGGTCTAGACAGCAAAGGATGCCACCATCAGGAAGAATCCAGCAAAAATTATTAGAGGCACTGAGCCAAAATACACTCTGTCAGCATTACAGCTGTGGGGTGGAATTTGCCCAGCTTAATGAAGATAAGGTAAAGATGAGGTAAACAGAGTGAGGGGGGAGGAAAAGCTTGTCAATTTGAGTGAAGACAGCTAAGGCTGGATTTATGTACTTGTATTTCTTACCTCCTCTCCTTCCTCTAAATGATAATCCTTCCTTGTATTAGGGCCACCGACAAACATGATGAGCAACTGGGAAAAGTGCCTGAGAAAAGCACAAATCAAAATTAGCCAGGTTGCTGCATGTCTGTGCACAATATATGACATGGTGTCAACCTCCCAATTTAAAGGTGAAACAGATTTTATGTTAAAGAAAATGCATGTTACTCACATGAGCTTGTTGCAAACCGGAGGCAGGAAAGCATTTTGGTTTTCAGTGATCCAGTTCTCCACATTGACCTGAAGAGGTAGGCTGCTCATTTTTTACTAAATGAAGAAGCTTGGATTTGTAGCAGAAAACTTTAACTGCCTTTCTCTATAGAGGTTTAAATGTGAAAAATCAACAGTGCAAAATGCAGAAGTGGAAGAAATGGGTTAGCCAATGAGGGAGGAGCTATCCTTTCCCTTGTACAAAGGTGAAAGTTCGCCCTCACTTTCACAATAAGTAACAGTAGGCTGTTTTGCAGTAATTCAGGAGGCTTGTAGATATACTTACCAACTAAAATGCATTTGGAATGTAAAATTGTGCTATTTAAATCTAAAGGGTTTCTTATATATAAATGTCTGTATGCTTTAAACATGTTTTCTTTCATGCTTTTTTGGTTTAAAACTATAAAAAGCAAACTTAGTTAATCAAAAACAGTACAAATGAGATTCAGTGAGATTGGAAACTAATGTATTACAAAATCTCAACTCGCCACAGGAATGCAAATTGAGCTTTTCACTTCCTCAAATTATTAAAACCTATTCTGAGCATTTATTTCGATAGAATGTCATGGGAGGACAAATTTGAAGAGAATGTCTAAATACAGACCACATGTTGGATTCAAGACATTTACTGCCATGGCGGACTAGAATAAGTTAGTAAAGGTCTTGAAAAACTACCCTCAGATCAGTTGCAGCTGGTGGAGTTTTCTCCAAGGGGGACTATAAATTCCAAATAGACATATACCAAAAACCAATCAAAAGTATACCAAGTTATCACATACCAGTATATTTATATGAATGCCAACAACACAAAAACATTATGAAAACACTTTTTACAAAACACTCAGATTCAAACCTTCACATCTGCCCTGCTGAAAGCCATGGTTTTTGTATTTTTGCTTTTTTAAAGAGGATTGCTTAACATATATTCTGTGAGATGTTCATAGTTCTGTGAGAGTGTTCAAATGGGCTATTAGGGCATTTCAATACTTGTCTCCCTTTCACGATTTTATTCAAATCATTTGTCATTACTTTATTCTCTACAGTTTTGCACCATTTCCTGGTTGTGGGTATATGGCTTATTTCACATACTTTTCCATCTTTGTTTAACACATGATCTTTTTGTGTATATATATATATATATATATATATATATATAAGATAGATAGATAGATAGATAGATAGATAGATAGATAGATAGATAGATAGATAGATAGATAGATAGATAGATAGATAGATAGATAGATAGATAGATAGATAGATAGATAGATAGATAGATAGATAGATAGATAGATAGATAGATAGATAGATAGATAGATAGATAGATAGATAGATAGATAGATAGATAGATAGATAGATAGATAGATAGATAGATAGATAGATAGATAGATAGATAGATAGATAGATAGATAGATAGATAGATAGATAGATAGATAGATAGATAGATAGATAGATAGATAGATAGATAGATAGATAGATAGATAGATAGATAGATAGATAGATAGATAGATAGATAGATAGCGAAATATTTTACATTTTAATTTAAAGTTTTAAATATATAAAAAGAAAAAAATGTTTTGGCTATTGGCCAGCCAGAACAGTGAAACGTTAGCTTTGAAATCAGAGCAAATAATTTCTCAACTGTCTCCACTAGAGGGTGCTGTTTTATATGGTTTAAATTACTTCAGAGGGTTTTGTGAAAAACTTTTTAGATGTTCACGGATGGATGGATGGATGGATGGATGGATGGATGGATGGATGGATGGATGGATGGATGGATGGATGGATGGATGGATGGATGGATGGATGGATGGATGGATGGATGGATGGATGGATGGATGGATGGATGGATGGAAGCTGTAGAAATGAGCTCAGTACTGATTTCTTTCTTTGTTCTTAATATGGAATTTGATTTCAATACAAAAACAATTGCTTTTCTTCAGCTCTTTGAAAATCATTAAAACACAGAATGCTGAAGGCATGTCCTGTTTGTCAACATCCTCCTTTAAAATGTATATAAAGACTCTTTATCTTCAACTAAATAATGTATGCAGGTTTTCATGTGGCGTTTGTTGCACTTATATTTCTGTCATATTAATTTGTAGTTTTTAAGAATTGTGTTTACCTCCTGCCAATACTAGGCTACACATATCAGGATAAAATATGTAATTCAGTGTTTAAAAAAGGCAGATTTCAATGACATTATTTTACGTCCATATGAGACTTCTTAGTTTTAGGCCTTCTGCTATCAGGGTTGCTTGGCAACTAAAGTCAAGCTGAGGTGAGAGCGCAGGACTGCTGCTGAAGGATAGGCTACCTTTACAATCCAAAGAGCAATTTTTACATTCAGTCCATTTAACAAAGACTCATTTGAGCCGCAAACATTATGTGACTGTTTTTAAAGAGATATGTACCAAATAATTTTTAAATAGACCTGATCAACATGCCATTTCATAAGCTTTAGAAAGAATTAAATATCTTGCGAAAAGAGAATAAATACCTTTTAAACGGGTTGCTGCAATCCCAATGAAGCATTTAAAAGGATAAAAAATCTATTTCTGTTTTATTTAGAGTCCATTGGTTTTGGATACATTTTTTTTTTATTTCTGTTTCAAAATATAGTGATGAAGAGTAATTTACAAGTGTCAACTTGTGGCTCCAAAGCGACTGTTTGCAGACCACTGGGCTAGACAAGGGGTCTTTAACATTTTCCAGGTCAAGGACCCCCAAACTGATGGCGAGATGGAGCGGGGACCCCCTAATTATATATTCTGTATGAAATTGTGTTTTATCAAACTGGACCTATAGTCTCTCTATTACAGATGGAGTAATGTAACAAAAGTAGTTTCTCCCTGGGATTATTAAAGTATTCCTGATTCCTGGTTGATGGGACAGGTGTTGTGAATGAAACCGTGCCCAGCTTGAAAGAGCTCCTGTGTGTCGCTGAATGTGTATATTGATGACTGAAAGACATCTTCTGCCTCCATTTATCTCTTTACTACAGTGTGTTGAATTCATGTTAATGTGTATTTAAAGATATTTCAATTAGTGTAAAAAATTGCAGCGGTTAATATTAAAAAAAAAGTCTAATCAACCAAAATTTTCGCCATGCAGTAGCTCCAGGGACCCCCTAGAGGTCGCGGATCCCCTGTTGAAGACTTCCGGGCTAGACTATCCCAATTTACAGATTACCCCTTCCGGTCTTCAAAGCAGAGACATAGCCAGAAATTTTTTAGAAGGGTGGCCAGGCAATAACCAATGTACACTGAGGGGTGGCTGAAAGAGGATCGGCACCAAATTTTCTAAATAAAGACTAACTATACTTTCCTATAGCCTTTGCTAACAAATAGACACATATATTTAAACATTTCTAGTCTGTATCAGAGGGAACAAATGGTAGGGGTGGCCACAGGGGTGGCCAATGATTGGCTAAGGGTGGCCATGGCCATCCCTGGCCCCCCATCTAGCTCTGCCCCTGCTTCAAAGGCCTGGCATACTTGGGACACATCTGTTTGCGATTTTTGTTGTCTTTCATTAAAACGGCTTTTTATTTTTCCTGAAGAATAAATAAATTAATTGTAAAGAAAAACATGTTAGTAAAATATCCCTTCATCAGTTTTAATATACAAGGGAAGACCTAACAAATAAGTATCACGTTGGCTGACGCATCTATTAAAAAAATCTATATTTTTCACGAGTAGTGCTGGGAAGTCTAATTCTAATTAACCTCTAATTCTTAAATGTTTTCTAAGCATTACTTTGCACATTGCATAACTGCGTCGATGCGTCGCGGTCACGTGATTTGTGGCCCTCAACGAGGCGGCGCCTCCTGACGGCGGTGGTTCGGCGTGGTTCACCCAGACGTCGGCCAACAAACGCCGTTACATTTGTTGTTTGCAATCTCAAAACAACCCACAACAGCACTTAAAAGCGTGCTCGGCTCGGCTCATCTCCGAAAAATCTCTTTGACTTAGAAGATAAAGTAGATATGGATGCTCTTTGGGGATTATGAGCGGATTCGTTAGCTCCCGTTGTGATTCCGGTTCAGAGGGAAGGTTTGAACTGTTCCCTGGAAAGTGACCATTGTTGAAATCAGGTCGAGGCTGTTGTCATTCCCACTGACTGACTTTCTTATTTTCTTTTTTTTACGGATTTAAAATTGAACAATTAGTGCAAGTTTTTTAGAGGGTCATGAAAGAAATGTCAAGGTAAGTTCAGCATGGAGAAGGTTTTCTGCTTCAGAGCGGGGCTTCTGCTCGCCTTCATGAAGAATAGGCTAAAGGCTAATGTTAGCCAGCTGTCACAACAAGGCCTGCAGCCGCCGTTAGCTAGCTTCTTTGTTGTTTCTAAACTTTTGAAAATGCACCTTGGAGTTTTTCTTTCACCAAACGTGAATTCTTAATGTCTTAGACCGGAAAGAGTGTAGTTAGTTGAACCATCGCTCCGTATCAGCTAACTAAAAACTTGCCAAGCTAGTAAATTAGCTAATTTGTCAGCCATTCCAACCTGTTTGTAGCCTGTGTGCTAGCAACCTGGTCGATGATCCAGTTGACACACTTGTAATTTATTTCCCATTTATTTCGGTAAAGTCGCTCCGAACTTTTGAATTATACTAAATTTAAGTTGTACACGCTTGTTTGAAAAGTGGAGCTAATTACGCAGGTCGCTGTCAGTAGACAGTTTGAGTTAGCCGGCAATGCATCTGAATCTGCTCAACTGGCTAACAGCCTTCAAACGTTAAACACTTAGTATCTGCTCAAGTGAAAAAATGTGCCAAAACAAATTATCCCTATCAGTTATTTTTACGCATTTTATGATGTCTACATAGGTGGGTAGGGTTTTTGACAATAACCTAAATTATACCTATATCGCGTGGGCAGGTTTCGAATTAAAACTGCCGCATTTTAAGATACAAAATGTTAGTGTCCACTAATTCAGCTTGAATAGCAGATTGTAGTTGTATGGCAGAACAATTAATTTCTAGTACTAACTTCCCGTTTACTTAAAGCAGAATGAAAAAAAAAGAACTTAATACTTTTGCATCACTTTAAATTCAACCTTCTTTGGTTGACTGCTAAAGCTCAATTTACAGTGACAATTGTGGACGTTGTCACAACATAAAGTATTTTTTTTTTTCAAACTTTTGAGGGAAATGTTTTAACTGATGCTTTAAAACCTTA